AAACGTCCGATAACCATATTTTTAGCCAGTGACAACCATTTAATTCCTTTCCTTTTTTACCAATTTTTATGTTAGTAAAAGGCTGGTTCTTTTAATAAATTATAGTAATAACAGTTATAGAAAAGGAATTTACTGTTTAGTAGTTTGCAGTGCTCCAGTGGTTAAATGACAGATAGTTGGAGAATGGACAGCCCTTACTCCTTGTGAGAGATTAGTAGTCATATCCTGTTACATATTTGTGTACACATGTATAACATGCCTGTACATGTGAGATTGTTGGTTTAGAATGTCATGAAACATTTATTAAGCTCCTCATTTATAAGACTTTGTAACTTAAATACAAAATTTTCATTTCTCACAGGTGAATCACCAACACCAAAGCGCAGGAGCAAGTCAAGTAACGTTGTAGTTTAATTCTAAACTATATTGTTTTTAATTAGCTTTTCTTTCATCCTTCTTTGGATAGTATGAATTAATGTAAAGTGAACTGTTCTAAGAGCTAGGGGTTTAAACTCCCAAAACCCTCTCACCTGAGAGGACTGGGATCAACTGAGACATCTTAGTGACATTTACACAAAGTATATGGTATTTACATGTATTGAACAGCAGTTTGGTTAGCCCATACAAGTTCTAGTTAGCTTTCACTCCAGCTTACTTGCAGTTAGCTTTCACTCCAGCTTACATGTAGTAGCTTTCACTCTGGTTTGCTTGATGGCAGCGTTCACTCCAGCTTGCTTGCAGTTTCCATGCCTTTCACTCCTGCTTGCTCACAGCTAGCTTTCACTCTGGTTTGCTTGGTGTTACACAGTCACGTAGCTTTCACTCCTGCTTCTGGCTTGCTTGCAGTTAGGCTTGATTTTCACCACTCTCTAGAGTCCGGTCTACATTCCCCCTCGAGAAGAGACGGCTGGATGCGTGAGTGGCAAAGCATGTCTGTGACGTAAATTCATATTAATTCATGCAGCACTTCTGGTCACCAGAAGTGTCATCTGATGACAATCATAGATAGGCCTACAGGACACCTGCAGCTGATAACATTTGTACATTTGCCATTCTCTTTATTCAAGATTTAAATCTTCCAACCTATTTTGTCTCACGTTGTTGCTGCAGAAGGGCATTATATGCTGTGTTCTAAGGAAGAGTTTGTCTTGTAAGTAGAACAGAGCCATTCGACTGTTGTGTAGCATATTAAGATCACATGTAGGTCTACATGGTTTCTGCTGTTAAGTTGCCATATATATGTTTTGCTACAGTCAAACATGTATATAACGGCCCTGTATTAAGCAGCCACCCTCCATTAAGCAGCCAGTTTTCAAAGTCCCGATTTTTCACTCATACAAACGCTGTGTTTGTTACCTGTATTAGGCAGCCACAGGTCTCTATTGAGCAGCCGCGGCCACCCTGTAGCAGTCCTTTGTTTGTCTTCCTTTGCTATTTTCACCTTATCTGAACGTAGCAACTATGAAATTGAACATAACAACTATGAAATGACGGAATGAGATACAGTGTATTTGTTGTGAGCTGCAAGTCATAGAAGTACAGTACTGTATACCATAGAAGAGTAGAGGACAATTTATTGCACAGATCTTTTACACAAAGTTACGTATATTATACCGTTAAGTTACAAGGTGGCACTGAACTTTGTTTAAAGCAGTATTGATTGCTTGATAGAGCTTTGATTCTCCTACTGTTTTCTTGGATGAAGTGTTTTTGTATGACACGCCATTAAAATTGACATTAGACCATGTCCAGTGAGTATTTTTAGTGATCCTGTATTAGATGGCCAGCTATATTAAGCAGCCAGTTCCTCAAGTCCCAAGGGTGGTCATTATGTACAGGTTCGACTGTAGTTTGGTTTGCTTTGGCTCATTTAAAAATTTAATTTTGTCGGGCTCGGACCCAGAGAGTGTTGTCACTTGCTTTCAAACATAAACTTCACGGACTGTTTTCTCTCTTGAGCTCAATGTTAAGGTTTATCCCTCTCTGTATTGACTTTGTTCGTTATTTGACGTTCTGGCAGTGCATGACTCACGTCCCGACCCTCTTAGCTGAATAAGGACCACATCTTGGCCATCGACTAACTTTTCTAGCACTTCCAGTTGTAGATCTTTCAATCTTTCGATCTTAAACATCTCTCGCATGCTACTTTCATCAATTTCAGACCATCCACCATTGATCTGATGAGATATTTTATGCCCCACAAAATTCTGCAGGCAGCTATCTGATTGGCTGAGACAAACAAAAGAACCCTCACACGTCCAGTTGTGCCTTCGGGGGAGGACAGGCACGGCACAGCACAGCACAGGCTCCTTTCCCGAACAGCGGCTGGTAATGAAGCCTAGCTTGTAGTTAGCTTTCACTCAGGTTTGCTTGTTGGTAGCTTTGGCTTCTGCTTGCTGGGCAGTAACCTGGTATAGCATCCCATCCACAGGAAGTAGCTATACTCCTGTGTGCTGTTGCTTCTTATCACAGGCCTGGGATAAAGTTGGACAAAGTGAGGCAGTTTGGCCTGAATGCAGACTACCTGATTATCTTTGCTACTAATACTGATCCAAAAAACTATACATGGCTCAAATCTAGAAGAAATATTGGGTTTGTAAAATTTCTGTTACTGTAGTTGAACGCTTAAAAACTGGTGGCAAGGAAAGTAAAACACGGCAGTAGTCTTTACTTGTTGGTTGCTAGGGTTGTACTTGATGGTGATGTGGTCCGCTCTGTGTTACTTTGTATTATGGCACTCCTACCTGTAAATCGTTTGAAATTATTGCCTTTTGAATATGTAAGCATCACGAGCAAGCTGACCTGTGGTTTGTAGTTTTCCAATAACATAGCTGCAAACAAATAGGTTACAGTACGTGTACATGCATATCCATCACAATGTCTGTGACAGCATTTCATTTGTGTTCTAGGTGGAAGAAGTAAAGGAGGTGGAAGAAGAAAGCAAAAAGATGCTGAGGAGTCAGCAAGAAAAAAGAAAAAGTAAGTGTACCAGGTCACTGTGGTTAAATTTAAGAAATGCAAGTAATCAAATATTGGTGTAGTAACAGTTAGTAAACTATTAAATCTCCTCGATGAGAATTAAAACACTACTAAACTTTTAGATTACAGGCAAATGATTTTCAAGTTGTTGATATGGACACTGGCTTATCTGCTTAATGTCATGTATATGATTTTTCATTTGTCACCACTATTATAAATTCAATTATTTATGCTATGCTGATTATATCAAGACATTCAATGAAATGAAATCCTTCTACAGTTAATGGCAATTCCATAAAATTTACAGACTANCATTTCTCAAAGGTGTCAGTTTATTACAGGTAACCGTACTCTATTGCCGTAAAAGAAGATATTGAAAATCACAAAATTGATGAGCTGTATAAATTTTCAAATGATTCAAGCAGTGATTAAAAGTTTTAGACCTTGCACAGACAAGAGAATTGAGGAGAATTTGAACGACACATTTCGCTATTATTTATACAATATTGTAAAGAAATACACGTAAATACGGACATGGCAAAATGGCATGAACAAATAGTTGATAAATAGAAGAAAAGACATTACATAAGGCTGGGAGTTCTACAATCACTAATGTTGTCCTGGAAAGGGAAGAAAAGAAAAAAAGAAGTTATTACAACACAGGGTATTTGTATGTAGATTTAATATGTACAGTTGTATTCTAAGAACTCACTCAGCTGGTTCTGGAAATTTACTGCGTTTCATGTGTATGCATTGTTCCTAACTGCGGCCAATTCAGTCACTCTTTTTCCTGGTGAAAAGGCTGCTTTCACAAGGTTTGGTCAATGTTGTTATACTGTTCTTTTCATTAGTTTATAAGCCTCTTTCACTGGAGAATGTTGGCTGTTCTTCCAGTATTCAGCAAATTATAATGATACCAGTCATTACAAGAACTTGTTTGTAATTTGTGTTTTAGAGTCGAGTCTGAAGGTCCCAAATCACTTGCTATTGCTGTTTCTCTTCTGGCACCTGAGGTTCAAGTGCTTGATATGCCAGTTGATCCCAATGAACCAACATACTGCTTGTGTCATCAGGTAAGTGATGCACAAATAAATATCGCCATGATAATTGTAACTACTCAGCTCGTTTAGTTTTTACTATTTTCAGTAGTTTTTTTTGCTTATTTAAGTTTAATGTCTTCTTTTGCTGAATGATATTATCTGTATTATGCAAAATAAAATGGTTGTTGTTGTTGTTGTTGTTGAGCACCTTCCTTCCAATAAGCACGCCCTTAGTTAAAGTGACCTTCGAGATATTGACATAGAATCGGCTGATTAGACAAATCAAATGAATTGTGAGGTCAGTTCTCTGATTTAATCGTAATGTTGACCCTATTACTACATTTCTTGAGTCAAAGTATCTGTTACCTTGATTAAAAGTAGTGTACCAAATTCAGATGTATACATTTGAAAAAAGAAATAAGCGCGCTGTCCCCAGTAAGCACCGTCCCTTGAGCTACCCAAAGTAGATTAGCACCTCAGGTGTTAAATCAAATCATGTCCATACTGACAAGGCTGGAAAGTAATCTTGTATGTGAGTAGCCTCGTACGCAGACGTTCTTACACTTGTCACTCAGTCCTTTTTTTGGCTAACTACAGTACAATGGGTTTTGGGTTAAGAGCACTTCAAGCCGAATTTAAAGGTGTTGTAAACTAGTAACTGGCTTTATGAACAAAATGACCAACAACAACAACAACAACCATTTCATTTTGCATAATACAGGGAATATCATTCAGCAAAAGAATACATTAAACTTAAATAAGCAAAAAAACTACTCAAAATAGTAAAAACTAAACAAGCTGAGTAGTTACAAGAATTATTACGCTTTAAATCGGTTGTAGAAAGAGAGAAAAATATATATAGATATAAATATAAAAAGACATATATGTAGTAACAGTACCAGTTAAAGACAGAGCATTGTTGAATTAAGAGCGTTAGTAACTTAAAGAAAAAATGCTAAGCTAGCATTAAGCATAAGAACTTACAAACTGCTTGGTCAAGGTTTGTTTAAATAAACGCGGAGATAAACTTTTTGTCTCTTCATCCAAATTGTTTCAGATAGAAGGACCAGATAAATGTAGATTGAAGTTCTAACCTGGTCGATACAATATGTTGTACAGCAATACTTGGGCATTATTTTGATACCATTGTTGCAGCATCAGCTTACAAATGATGTTAGTTATTGATCCATCCAAGTATAATAGCTGAAAAGTGCTAGAGACCATTTCTGGCAGTTCATAGTCTGATGTTTGTTTGAGTTTCATTCAGGTATCATATGGTGAAATGATTGGCTGTGATAACACAGAGGTAGGCATGTAATGATTTCAATGTACTCCCTATTGTTATTCACCAGGACCTAATTTCCAGGCTGGAGATCTTTCTGGTTTGGCCTTTGCACAAGACACTTTGTACAACTTTCTGTCTGTCATGTGAGGGATGAACATACTGAAGTGTTCTTATTGTTTGCAGACAGACATACTGAAGTTGTACATTATGTCATAATTTTGCTACATTTGTTGGAAACAATTTCGTGTGTGACTATTTTGGCGCTGAATTTAATGACATTAACTTGCTGTTTCACTTTTAGTGTCCTATTGAATGGTTTCACTTCCCATGTGTTGGACTGACATCAAAGCCAAAGGGAAAATGGTTAGTTCAGATTTTCTTTTGTTGTTGAAGAACCACTTGGGAGGTAATGTCTTTAAGTGGTAGCTTTTTTGAATACCTGACTGAACCTTTAGTTTTCAGAGTAGACTAAAATACATGTAGAACACACAATTCTTATTCCTGATCTTGTGCGCAAAGACGTTATTTTGCCTAGTGGATCTTGACACCCAAAGTGTTTTTTTTTCTTTACCTTTTACGGCAAGCGTGATCACAGTGTAATTCAGACAGTCAACTTGCATAGATCGTTTTTACTGAATCCTTTGAATCAAGTGTAGGCCAGCTGTTTTCTTAAAGGAGACAAATTATATTGCTCTGAACACCTTTAGTATCAACTGTGACTTCAATTAAAAATGTTTCTTATGCATTATGGGATGTGTGGGTCAGCACTGCGTGATCACACGCAGATAAACTTACCACATGATTCTTTGCCAAGCTACTTAAGTCTGGCATTGTGGCAAATTGCCAATAATATTGACAGTCTACCGAAAAGTGTGCATTTATAGCATTCTTAATTAAACAAATAGACTGTCTACCAGACTGTCTGCTTTCTCTGAAATACGAGTAACAGTGAGAGGTGGGAAGTGCCGTCAGGTACTCTCGCGTCAATCGTTCGTGCATTCACCCTAAAATAAAAGGAAGAATAATTTGTTATATTTAATGTGGGAAGTATTCAAGGTAGGATGTACATTTGTTGGTCACAAACATACACGTACTCGGCACAGAGGTACATTGTCGCAGAACTGATCAAAATAAATAAAATAATGAGAAATTTGATCTTTTAACGTTCCTTGCAGGTACTGTCCAAAATGTGCTCAAGAAAGAAAGAAAAAGTAATTCAATATGACAGACACTTTGTACATGTTACATGTAGAAGTGGACAGTACAAGACCGCTGTACATCTTGCATTCCCAACACAAAAACACAAACTCTGTTTGTGTATGGCACGCAATGGGTGAACCTTTATCAGATTGTTAATAATCCGGAGAATCGTTCTATTTACACCTGAGACTTAAGTCAACGATCATTCATTGTGCCAGAGGCTTATAACTCCGGATTGAAATGAATTATGTATACATGTATATTCTTCTTAAATAGGACATCCAAAGGTGAACCAACCGTTCAATTCCTGTCCGTTACTCTTTTACCTGTTTTAAGAGCATTTTATCGCTGCGAGAACTCTCTAATCCAGCATGCAGATATTACCCTATTTTTATAGAGCGTTTGTAATATTGACATTTGTTAAATCCGTTTAGCTTTCAGTATAACCAACTCATCAAAAAATGCCTGCTATGAATATTAACACTAATCGTTAACTGTAGAGATTAAATGTAGCTCGCCAAATGCGTCAATTTAGATGTAATTTGAATAGAAATGAAAGCGACTCAGGACGAGACTGGTACGAATAAACGCGATGTAATGTACGAAAGAAACTGGCAGAGATACTTAATTTGAATATGGCACAAAACGTTTCTGCGTTTGTTTTCAATGAAGTCCGTTTAGATTTACTTCATCGAAGTGGAGTTAATGTCGTGAGAAAGATTGTTGGGTTAAACTATTGTCTTTAATTTAGTTCCCTAAATTTTTTTTTGTTTGAAGAAAATTTTAAATCCTTACGCAATGTAGTGATTGTCAACCTAGTTATGTAATATAGTGATCAGTAATACGCTAGCGGTAATGTACTTTTTTAACACTAGGTTGATGAATTGGAAGTTTGCTGGTTAGAGGAACCTTGTTTCCATCATGTAATAACTACTCGCTCTTTATAACGCAGCAGTGACATCGCTTTTTAATGTATAAAATTGTCCTCTTCCCAACAGTGGAGGGCTCTGTAAATAGTTATTGACTAAAATGAATAAAACTACTGACTCAAAACCTGATTTGTGTTCATGTAACTCAGCAGTAACTGAAGTAATTCGAACCTACATTGCAAAAAAGTTCGAACGATTTAAATTTCGAACAAAAAAGGGTCCGAAGATAAAACAGTCCGAAATTTTTAAGCGTCGTAAATATTTTCAGTGTAGTAGAAAACTTTTTAGGTACGTACTTTGTTGGGTGATGCCATCACATGTATTCAAGACCAATCACCATGATAGATATTGAACCCAGATTAGGCTTTACTCGCTCTCTTTTATCACAGGAAAGGAAACTTTTTGTGCTTTTATGAAGAACATAATGAGGATAAATTCCACTTGCAATGCATGATTATATAAGCCCGGTTTCAAGATTATTGTATTACCAGTGGTGCTAGTCGTTTCCGCCTCATCGTCAATCATCACAATGGAAAAGTCCTCTTTAGTATCTCTAATCTCCTTTGTAGAGTAAAATGTAGTTGAGAACTGACTGATTAACATACGCAATGGCTTGATAGGATTTGTTATTTTCTTGTCGGCTGGGGTATCGATAAAACCTTGAGGGTACAGTAAAACTCATTTGTTTCAGTCTAATTCGGCGAAAATTAAATCTGTAATAATCTGTAATTTAGGCGAAAATAAANGAATGTGCATTGCATTGCGACTGTAGTGCTACCAAAACAGTTAACTTTTAAAAGCGCGGTTGTAAGATCTAAAAGATCTTCTTGTTTCATTTCATGCTGCTTGCGGCTGATGTTACTCCCAGAGCATTGTTTCAAGCCACAGACCATGATGTCATCCAGAGAGTGGGATCGGGAGGCAGAGTTGAAATGTTCAGCTACGGGAAACCCGCGTGATCGGTTTCGAATGCTGCGGAGGTGCTCGCTGAAACGTTCCCGTAGTCGCCTTCCAGTCTCTCCGATGTACAGAGATGAAGAAGTACTTCCGGGCGCTTTTGCTGCTTATTGGAAATTGGCTTCTTATGAACTAAGCCGGCAATGTGGCCTGCCTTCCTGTGCTCTTTTACAAATTCTTCAATACTTTATTTGCCTCTACAAAAGCGAAGTAATTAATAGATAACGGAAAACCATTTTTTGTGCGGCAGCAAGCGAAGGAAACGATCATTGGCGGCTCTTATAGATTTAATCGAAGAACGTTTGTAATAAGTGCCATCATTCGTCCTCGCAGACTAGGACGAGCAAGCCATTCTGTAACATTAAGGTAAACGTTGTTGTTACGTAATCTTTATGAATACTTAAAATCTCAACGGTCATATTTGGAATTTTGCAGTTTTTAAGGGAAACTTAATGAATACTTACCGTTAAATAGTCTCATCCCAAACTTTGTAGATTTTTGTTTGTTGTTACTGGGAATGCTTTGTCCATAATTTCTTGTATTTCTTCTGGAGATAGCACATCGAATCTGCTTTTTTCATCCATATTTATTTTTGTCGACGAAACTTCCTGCAAAAAAATTTATGCCGAGCGACATTTGCCGTTTTCATTTCCATATATCGTCAGACGTAGGTATAAAAGCTGGTAACCGAGATTCAGTGAACCAGTCAGAAAGATATTGCACTATTCCATTTGGCACGGAAATGTGCTCGGATATTTGTCCGCGGACATTCTCTGTTCCGAGAAGCGAACAACTTTTCGAGAGCGTAGCTCGAGGAAAAGTGTGAGATTTGAGGACCAGGCAATGTCTAAGGACAAATATCCGAGCATATTTTCGCTCCAAATGGAGACTATCGTGTTTATATAAAATTGCTTAAAATGAATGTTTCTCTCGTCAAGATGACGCAGCTTTGAAACGTTCTCAGTCTTCGTTTTCTTTCGTGATAAACGTTGCGCAAATGTGATACATTTTTAAAACCCTTACTAAGGAAAGGAACACAGAATATCTTGCATAATTCCTTATCCCCAACTCGTCCTTTAACACAATAGGTGAACTTAATTTTAGGTACCTTTCATTTTGTGTGGTGTAGGGGAGTCTGCATGGTGGGATTTAATAGTCTTTCTCCGTGATATCCAGTGACCATTTTAAACCTCATACAGTAATTCATTCCCAAAGTAGTTGTTTTTATTCGGTAGAAGGTTTTTATCCAATGTATTGGTATATTTGGTGCCATTTGGCCATGTATTGTATCAAAAGAATATAACAACTTTAATTTTAACTTACAAAAGGACATATATAATAGAACATAATGATGGGGCGTGCGAGCAATAAAAATATATAATAAAAACAAACAAGCGATTTTTATTTCTTTTTCTTAATTAGCCTGGAGACAGTCTTTTAGCTACCTTTTAACGTGATCGGTTTAAAGAGATCAGTTTAAAATTGACTGAACATCATGAAAAAGGGCTGTAACACGTGTTCCACTGTATTTACAAGCACATCTCCCTGTCTCTGGTCTCAAGTGCCACATTGTGAGTGTATTAGATTTTCGTGCAAGGATATTTACTAAAGCCAAGTCTGCTAACAAATGTGAGATTAAACGAATTTTTGGTACAACAACAACAACAACAACAACAATTAGCTTTATTTGCATGACCATAAATACATACAGTGTTGTAAAAGCTTTTGTAAACTAAAACTAAAATAGTAACGATTACTGTAAACCAAGAGATATTATCAAGGCAAGAGAGTGAATTCCCCATATAGGCCTTCTGCCCAAGATAATCCCTCTTAAGTTATTTTTAGACATGGTACCCTGTTCTCCCGCGTACCTAAATAGCGCGTTGCGTGGATGTTTTCGTGGAGGATTTGTTTATGTGTCGCTTCGTTTCAAAACGAAGAAAAACCTCCAACGTTGTGGGGATGCCTTCTTTTATATAGATATTAAAAACTCAGAGGAGCTTCTACCCTAGCTATGTTTTAATACATTTCTCAAATTTAATAGAGTTTAAATAAGAGACTGATGTCCCTGCCCAAACAATAACAAACTGAATGGACGGTAGAGAAATCAGCATCCAAACGAGTACAAAGCAAACGAACGCCCGACATAACGCAACCGAACAAACGGATGGTCGAAAGTGCACACACTCGCCGCCCAACAACAAAAGGGAGTTTAAGCAACAAAGACAACAACGCCAAGAACAACTTGCGAATACCAAGCGAACCAAGCGAATACCGTCCAAACAACAGTACAAATATACAGCGATATTGTACAGTAGAAAACCTGTTTGCTGTACAGGTCGGCGCGCTCACGCTCACTCTCCCTCTTTCATTGATAAATTTACTTACTACAGCAGTTGGATAATAAATCCCTCATTAGATGTTTTGGTGTGTAGTATCGCTGTATAGTTTTACTCGTTGTTTGTATTTTGACTCGCCCTACGGGCTCGTCAAAATACGGCACAACTCGTAAAAATATACAAAGATACTACACACCAAAACATCTAATAAGATATATTTACTCATTGAAAAGGCGCGAAATAAATTCTCATTCACAAGCCAGTCTAAGTAGCGATTACCTAGATGCTAGCCTAGTATTATAGTTATGTTTAGATGATATGCATGTAAAGTAATTGTCAGACCTTAGGTAATAGATTATGGTAATACTGAAACATAAAAACGGCAGTTTGCATAGTAACCAGATCCATGAATTTAATTAAGCCTAACTGGGAAAATAAAGGGCTGGACTGAGCATCTCGTTTCGAGAATGTGATTACACGTAGAGCCTGTTTTTGCAAAGTTACAATGGGTTTAAGAGTTGTGGAGTAGGTATTTCCCCAGACAACCAAGCCATAGGTAAGAAAGGGATACAGTGAGGAATAATAAAGCTGAGTAAGAATATCATCAGAATATCCCAGAATATCAGTCTTCCATTTTTAGCCTTCACATAATATTCACTACCTGAAACACATTCAGTGACCTTTTTTCTGTTTTACACAATACGACTTCATATATAATATATATTGCATAATATTTTAAAAATACTTTTCAGTGAATTTTTCATTCTTCATTGCATCGTGTACGTCAATTCAAGTACTTTTAATAGATCGAAATATGATTTCCCTTTGTTCATCTCATTTAAAAAGTATAAACAGAAATAGCCACAAGTTGTTGTTTTGATATTTTGTATTTGATTATTTTGAGGTAAAAGAGTTAAGTTGAGTTTTTTAGCATGATTAATCATTTCTTGAAATAGAGGCATTCCAAAACTGTCAAAGTAGTTTATTACGATATTTCTTGCATAAGTTGCTATCCAATGAGATCCATTCATGCAAGAAGGTTCGAGACTGTAGAATAAATAATGTCTGTTTGTGATCATGAGGAACTGATTGGTCTCTCGACAAAACCTCACTTATATAGGTATTTTGAGATACTTACACCATTCAATCAAATCAAAGTTGCTCATTGGAATATTTGTGTGACATTTTGGTTTTATAATATTTGTCCGAGTATTGGAATTGAGTTGAATGGGCTGTTTTTTCCTAATAGTAGTCCCTTTCCAGAGCTTTTTTTTTCCCTTCCTCGTCCAATGGTCTTTTCCCAAGTACCAATAAAAGGAGCCGGCTGTCCTATTTGAGGAGCTGAACCACCTTTTGATTTTGGTAATCCCAATCTTGGTGCTCCTTTTCCTGTATTACCTTTCAATAATGGTTTACCAATCAAATCAACAGCTAGTGGAATACCAATCGAAGAAAATAAGTTGCCCAAAAATCCACCTGATTGAACTCTTTGTTGGTCTTATTGTAACATTTCCACCAGTCTGAAGAGCATTCGAAATGCTACATGTGCTGTCACGCCGAAAATCGTCTCCAATATTTCTCATGCAAAAAAATCTCTCTTTTTTGTCAATCTGTAATGTTTTTCAAAAGGTAGGGTGCGTTTAAAATAATTCTCAAAATAACTTCGTTTAAAAAATAATTCTCAAAATAACTTCGCAACTACACATCGCAGGACGATGTATGGTATCATAAAAATAAAAATACCTTGTCTCAGGCTCTTTTCAATAACTAATTTATGGTCTCAAATTAAAGGGTCTTTTTAGTTATTTTTTTACCCCATAGTACTACACATCATACCTGACGTAAAGTATTTTTCACTAGGCTTGTTTAACAGCTAATTGCGCCATGCTATGACTTCCAATAAAAAATATTAGCATTACGTGACAAACACTGGATGTCTTTTTCATAAACACAGGAACAGATAAAAGGGACTTTCCCTCGGAAATAAGTCGTGAAAGTCAACCAATTAAAATTTGTCTGATGCATCGGACAGTTGTTGAAACCAACGCAAACTCTATTATTAGACAGTCGTTGACCTATCGCTTTCCCAAGATAAAGCCAATAAATTTCTCGCATTTCTTTCTGATACCTATCAGAAACACATCATGGAAAAAAGACAGGTTTGCATCAGATAGTCGTTGACCTTTCATCATATCTCTTTTCGAACTCTTCTTTATTCTCCTTATGCTTCATTGTTAGTTTATGTTGGACTATATATGCTAACAAATAATATTCACTACAATACGGACAAAACCAACGTATAACTTCCATATATTATATATAAAAATAATTGCGTGACATTTCTCAGAAAACAAGAAGTCTATTACAGGACTTTCCCTCGGAAATGAGTAATCGTTCTTACTTTATTTCTAATACGTTAGAAACATATTCAGTTGTTTTTCAC